ACGGGGTCCGGGACGGGAACCGCTGTCGACTACGCGGGAGTCCAGCAACATAGCCATCACGCTAACTGCTGGTTCCCAGTTTATACCTCTTTTTAATAAAAGGAGGAATGGAGAAAGAAAACAAATGTTTCAGTAGAAAATTACAGCGCGGTACTAGCAGTTAGCAGAATGGCTATGTCCCTGAACTCTCATGTAGCCGACCGCAGTTCAAGTCACGGACCCGGTGGCTTAAACTCACGCCAGATGTGTGTGCATGCGTGCCCAAGATCCCGAGAGGAGAATGGAGAAGGGATTGCGACATGGTCACCTCCACTCCTCCGGGGGTGATTTCTTGCTTTCTATCTCTCTGTCTCTCTGTCTTTCCAGTGAGCGCAGGCACCCTATAGCAAAAACCTCTCCAAAATAAGAAAAAAAAGAAAAAATTACAGTGCGCTCATCACTAGATTCTAGCTTTGTCAATATTTTTAGTCTAAGATCTTTTGTGAATCAATAAAATGTGGGAAAAAAATTTAATATGGAAAGGAGGGAGAGGAGAAAGGTGAAGGGAAAAATAAATAAAAGTATGCTTAATTGACAAAAAAAGAGAAGCTATTTGCTGTTGATAATGTATATAGTAGTATCTTTGTCTTCACTGACATGCATGGCATTTGTGCTGGAAAAAGAAATGTTCACTGTAAAGACATGGTTAAATGTAAATAAGCAAGAAAAAAACACTTAAGGGGCACAAAAATGAAAATTATCTGTTGATAATGTGTATGAATATATGTATAACTTAACTAATATACATGTATTCATGCTGGGAAAATTAATTTTGCATGTTGTAAAGGTATACAATGCTTGAATTGTAAAAAAAAAATTAATGAAAATAATAATAAAGTGAATAAATTCATAAAAAATTAAAATTTAATTAATTTGTTAATTAAATAAAACATAGAAGATTCCAACAATGTGGAAAGTATTATGACTATCACTACAAGTTCATACAGTAATAAGATGCATAAAATGTAAACAATATAATGACGTAGGTGGTAAAGAAGCATTTGAGAAAAGCATATTATTTTATTCTGATTTTCCAATTTGACATTTTATGAAGCAGAAAATTCTAGGACTTTTAAAACCAAAAATTAATAGCAATCAGGAGTGGCTCCATTTCACTTACTTCAAGATATGCCTTTTTTTTTTTTTGACTGTAGGCTTCCTGTGCTTTGCTTGCAGAAGAGAGATAAAGAGAGGAAGGAAGAAAGTGAGAAATCACTCCCCAGGGATGGCCACTCCACAATCCCTTCTCCTCTCAGGATTTTGGGCATGTGCCCACATATGGCATACCTGGTTTTTGGGTTTTTTTTGGAGAGGTTCTTTTCGCTATAGGGCGCGTGCGCTCACCAGACAGAGAAAGACATAGAGACAGAAAGTGAGAAATCACCCCCCAGGTGGGATGGTCATGCGGCAATCCCTTCTCCTCCATTCTCCTCTCGGGATCTTGGGCACGCATGCACACGCGCCCGGCATGAGTTTTAAGCCACCGGGTCCAGGACGCGAACCATGGTCGACTACGTGGGAGTCCAGTGACATAGCCATTACGCTAACTGCTGGTCCCAGGATAGGGAGACAAACTTGATGACCTTCCAATTCTAGGTATTATTAAAACTCTCAAAGTGTGTTACTGGGTAAGTTGAGTGCATTTGTGTAAAAGGATAAAATTTTCTTGGCCCTGTGTGCACTAGAAAAGTCCCAAGGTTAGAATATTGTGATGGCAAAAAATAACTTTAACTACGGTTTGCATTTGTAGTAGTGGTCATAGTTTTAGAATTACTCATCAGAACAAGATTAACTTCAAAATTAGGTTGTTGTTGTTGTTGGTTTTTTTTTGAGAGGTTTTTTTCGCTATAGGGCACATGCACTCGCCAGACAGACAGAGACATAGAGACAGGAAGTGAGAAATCACCCCCCAGGGGGGATGGCCACACCGCAATCCCTTCTCCACCATTCTCCTCTCGGGATCTTGGGCATGCACGCACACGTGCCCGGCGTGAGTTTTAAGCCACCGGGTCCGGGACACAAACCGCAGTCGACTATGTGGGAGTCCAGCGACATAGCCATTACACTAACTGCTGGTTCCCCCAAATTAGTTTTTTCTTTGTTTTTATTTTTTTTACAAATTAGTTTTTAAAAGATTGTTTAAAGCCACAGGTTTGGGACTCAAGCCGTGGTTGGCCGTGTGGGAGTCCAGCACCATTAATGACCATGCCACCTGCCGGCCCCCACATAGATATCATTCTAGAATGCAGTATATCACTTATCTGACAGAAGTGGTACAAATCATACTAAAAATTACATCATTAGAAATATGTTGATTGATAAAAATGTATATAATCTAAGAGACGGTCGAGACTTCCATAAAAATGTTTATTTTGTTTAAGCACATTTCGATTTTACTTGCATTTTTTAAAGAATTATTTTATTTAACTTTATTTATTTATTTATCTAAATTTGACCAGAGAGGGACAGAGGCAAGCTGCCAGGTCCAGGACTCGAACCACGATCGACCATACGGGAGTCCAGCACCCTTAACCACCACACCACCTGCCAGACCCTATTACTTGCATTTTAATACCTTAGTCCTATCATAAAGAATATTCTTCCTAAATACGAGATATCATAGTGTTCATTAAAATTTTATCATAGTGGCATTACCATAGTTACTAATCTTGCAACAACTTTTTTCAACTTTTTCCTGTCTATATCATGAAGTTGTTGACTTGGTGCACTTGATAAGCCATTTGGCCATGTGAGCATATTTCTGGAATTTCACGTTTGGTTAAGTCCCTACCTAAATCAATAAATTTGGAAATTATGAAAAGTAACTGACATGGGACCAGCATGTGGCAT